TCCCCAGTAGTGACAGAGATACAGAGAGGAAGCTCTAGGGAGAAGCCATTGCCTTTGCAGGAATGAAGAATACTATTCAACATGTTTGTAATAATGGAACTACATTGTGGAACTTGAGGAAGGAGTGAAAGTAAAAGGGAATGATAGAGCATCAACAATATCATAATACAGAACACATGTGAAGGTAGAGGATATAAGAATATGTATTGAAAGTTGTAGAAAGATGGGGGGTGAGAGGGAAGGGGTAAGGGAGAACAACAGAAGGGGTTGAGCTGACCAAAGTAAAGTATACTCACACCAGGGGTACACTGAGAAATCCCTTTGAACATTGACTTAGAAATTAACAATGAGAGAAAGGACTGTAAAATAGGTATAGTGTTGGGGGTACTTGTGGGGGCGGTGAATGAAGGAGATTAAGGTGAGGGAATATGGTTGATGAATTTTATATACCTATACAAAACAGAACAATGAAATCTCTTGCAATTACTTTAAGTGGGGTGGGAAGGGGTTGAGGAGAAGAGATGGTGGGGGTTATCTAACCACTGTACAATGTAAGCCTATTTGGAATTGTCACAATGAATCCCCCCTGTACAACAAGTATAACCTAATTAAATACATAGATAATGTATGCTCCCTTATTAACTCTCAGAGGGAGTGTGGTACAGCTAACACCTTGATTTTTAACCTACTAAAACTGATTTTAGACTGACCTCCAGGACTACTATAAGAGAATCAATGCATGTTGTTTTAAGCCTCAAAGTTTGTCATAGCAGCTGTAAGAAACTAATACATTTCTAGTCCAGCTGTTTTTAAAAGTCCTCAAAACTCCTTATTTCAACACTTCTTCAACTCAAGCTGCTTAGCTTTGACCTCTTTTATTTTCATCCTTCTGGAAATATTTCCACTTTTGAAAAATGATTATAAGAGTAAGTATAAAACCACTGATATAGTTCAGTACACAATTTTATACATAAACAAGCCCAGAACAGTGTAATGATTTTTCCTTACTCAGTAAGAAAAGGCAAAGAAAAAAAAATCAGATTTTTACTCTCAATTAGATCTTCTAGTGCCATACTGCTTTAGAATTGAGCAAGTAGATTGAAGATAAATTGTTAATGAATAAATGAAATAACATACGTAGAAAGTTTAAAAAGTATCTGGCACATGTATGCGAATAAGTATTAGCTGGTATTATATTATATATTTGAATATCCACAGAATATCTCTGGAAGTATATAAAAATCTGGTAATAATTTCCTCTGGTATGGGAAATGAGATACAGAACCTGAGACAGAAACTGACTTTTCACTATGTCGTTTTTAACCATGCACATGCTCCATCTATATATCTATTTATCTAATCTATCACCTATTTACCTTTCCATCCAACCATTCCTCCCTCTCTCCTTCCCTTTCTAAAGGATGAGCAGGATTGAATGGAACTATCTTTCCTTGCTTAATATCAAGATTCCTACCTTCTTTATATGGAAGCACAAGAGAACTAACCAATTCAAAATCCCTAAGAAATCAAAGGTTCCAGTATAAATGCAAGGTTTCTTTTTAGCCTGATATCTACTCCTCCATTGTCTCTTCAGGAACCTTTTCAAAGCACATTTGCCTTTAAGATATTCTGATTTCTAGTATTTTTATTCTGTCTGGGCATGGGTACCAGTGGGAAAGGAAAGGGTAAATGGAGACTGTGAAAGAGGGTGAATATGGTCGATGTACTTTATATATGAGTATGAAAATATAACAATGAAACCTGTTGAAATTGTTCTAAGAATGGGGGAGGGAGATGTGGAAGAAAGATGGAAGGGTGAATCTAATTGACATATTATAAGCACATGTGTAAATGTCACAATGAATCTCCCTGTACAACTAATATATGCTAATTAAAAACTAATAGAGTGAGCATCATCAAAATACATTATATGCATGTATGGAAATATTACAATGAAGCTCCTTACTTTGTATAATTAATATGTCCAAATAAAAAATATTAATTATAAAAATACTTTTACATTGAATTAGTATTGGAAAATCAGATTAGAAAATCCAACTGGGCAAGGCTTTTTGCTTATTTATTAAGTGTAATACTTTTACCTGCTATTGACTCTTTCTTGAACCTATATATTCACAAAATTAGAACACTTGATCTTTTCCCCCAACATTTCTGTGTGTCTCACTTCTAGCCAAAGTAAAAGTATCTCTCTGCTTTCTTTAATTACCCATTGGTTATTAAGAACATGTTATTTAAATTCCATGTATTTGTATTAATTTCCATTCTTCTTCTTGTTGATTTTAGTTTTATTCCACTGGTCTGAGAAGATACATGATGATGTCAATTTATTGAGACTTGATTTGTGCCTTAACACATGATCTATCCTGGAGGATGTTTCATTTGCTGATAAGATGATGTGTATTCTACTGCTGTTGAATGAAAAGTTTTTGTAAATGTCTGTTAGGTTAATTTGTTCTATAGTATGGGTTAACTCAGGTATTTCTTTCTTGATTTTCTGTCTGGATGACCTGTCCATTAAGGAAAGTGGGATGTTGAAACCCTCAACTATTACTGTATTGAAATCTATCTTTCATTTTAGATATAATATTTACTTTATATATTTCAGTGTTTAGTGCACATATATTTACAATTGCTGTATATTCTTGCTGAATTGATCCTTTTACCAATATATATCTCTTTACAGTTTTTGATTCAAAATCTGCTCTATCTGATATGAATCTTGCTGTTTTCAGCAATATGATGAACTGAAGGTCACTATATTGCATGAAATAAACCAGTCACAGAAACAAATACCACATGTTCTCTTTCATTTGCATAACTAAGAAGTCAATCTCATAGAGGAACAGAATGGAATAGTGGTCACTATCAACTAGGAATGGCAGGGGAAAGGGAGGATTGAGAAAAGCTCAATAAGGGACAGCAGGACACAATTAGAATGGAGGAATTACCTCTGGTTCTTTTGGGGGGGAAGCACTGGGGTTTGAACTCAGGGCCTCAAGGCAAGCACTCTTACTGCTTGAGTCACCCTGCCAGCCCTTTATTTGCAATGGGTTTTTTCGAGATAGGGTCTCGTGAACTATTTGACTGGGCTAGCTTCAAACTGTATCCTCCTGATACCTGCCTCCTAAGTAGCCAGGATTACAGGCATGAGCCACTGGTGACTGGCCTCTAGTTATTCTTTCTTTTTTTGTAATTTTTATTTTATTCATATGTGCATACAATGTTTGGGTCATTTCTCCCCCCTTCCCCCCATCCCCTCCCTTACCCCCCACCACTCCCTCCCTCACCCCCCCTTACCCCTCGCTACCCGGCAGAAACTATTCTGCCCTTATCTCTAATTTTGTTGAAGAGAGAGTATGAGCAATAATAGGAAGGACCAAGGGTTTTTGCTAGTTGAGATAAGGATAGCTATACAGGGAGCTGACATGCATTGATTTCCTGTACATGTGTGTTACCTTCTAAGTTAATTCTTCTCAAACTAACCTTTTCTCTAGTTCCTGGTCCCCAACACAGTAGAGTAACTACTGGTTTTAAAAAGTCTGTGATATATTTCAAAATGACTAAGAGTATGCCATTCTCAACATATAAAAGTGATGTTTGAAGAGATGTAAATGCTAATTGCTCTGATTTGATTATTACACTTTGTATACATGTATTTAATCACCATAATGTACTCCATAAAAATGTACTAATGTTCCATCCCAATAAAAAATGTGTCACTCTGTTCAACTAGCTTTATCACCCATCTGGAATCTATCTTCTGGGGAAATCAATTAGGAGGCGACCCTGGGACTAACAGAACCAAATTGCATCTGTCCTTTTTATTGGATAAAGAAAATTATATTCAGATCCTACCATCCTCTGATAAGGTAAGGACATTTTTTCATTCACTCTGATATTCTACAAGTGAGACACTATTTTCCATTGTCCATTCTAAAGAAGTCCTAATTCCAAATCTTGTTTTTTCCTGATTTCTTATATTACTGTTGGTCTGCTTTTCCTTGCCGAAGAATGATTAAATGAATCTCTACAATCTCAAAAAATAAGCCCAAGTCTTTGTGAAACTAGAGCATTTGTCATTTGTGATGCTAACTGAGCCAATTAGAATCTCAGTTAGAATCTCAGTTAGAAGTGGAAAAAAGCATGGTGGTTGCCCTAGCCTTGAATACTCACATTACTTTATCAAGAATGAGGTTTTCTAAGCCAAGAGATATGGAAGCAGATTCATTCCATTATAGAACAGGAATAGGTATGAACTTAAGACAAGTCAGTCTCTGATCTAACTGCTTACATTTGATGTTTCTAAGGCTCCAAAGCCTGACCTGTAGGATCACTTGAAAGAGATAAATCTTAAGAAGGTTGAAACCTGTCTTCAGCACAGCAACTTTCACCTGGCCCCCAGTTTTTATACTGCTTCAAACCACATGCCAAACCATCAGGTGGGACTTCTACTATCACTACATTCTTTGAATTTATAGGGAAATTTGGTACTGGAAATGAGAATCTACCTCCTCTCTTCATCTGTACTTCAGTGAGTTTCTGAATTCAGAAACCCTTATATTCACACGCTGGATAATCCCACAAAGTTTTCATTAGGCCTCAAGGAAATGATTTTCCTCTGAAGAAAATAATGCCAGCATCTGATGTCTTGATGGTTGCTCAAGGCAACAAACTGAAAAGTGGTCAGTCTGTGAAAGGAAAACTAGGGGTTCACTGACTTCTCAGCTAGACAGGGAATGAGAGCACAGACCTGGTTTCAGCTATAGCACAGAAGTAACTAAAGATTTCTTGCAGCTCAGAAATTTATTAATGGAGGGGATTGGGCCACGTGGTGTTTGTATGGTTGACCACTACAACTATGTCCTGGTTGTAATGAGGAAGAGGACTGCCTGATTTGCTGGCTATAGGTGGTGTCTTCCCAGGAACATGCTGAGCCCACTCTTCTGGGTCCCTGTTGCCATGATTAGGGACCAGCACTATCAGATAGGCTTTGCTTCTGTTTCTTGTAGCTGAACTGGAGAGATGACATTTTTTAGGACCTCAGCATAGTATGGAGTAAAGATATGCTCATTGTGATGCATCAGACTGACAAATTTCCAGCCTAGTTCTGCCAACTCCCCTTCAATGAAAGGAAGGCCTCCAGGGAAGTCTAGCAGAGACTCCCTCATGCCACGAACCAAACAGCATTTGAGAAACAAATGGATCCGCTGTTCTGTGGACAGAGTAAAACAATGAGAAGGGTAATGAAGAGAATTCAGAAGAAATTCACAATGCACTTTCTGCTCACCACAGTCTTAAGTTAACTGAGTTTCTCAGTGACCTATTCACTCATTTTCATAAACCATATAAATAAGATTTTTGTTAAGTTCTGTTTTGGAGACAGAAATACCACCAAACTCCTAAAAATAATGCATTATGAAAAGATGGTGAGCTAGGGCTACAGGTGTAGCTGAGTGGTAAAGCACTTGCCTAGCATATGCAAGGCTCTGGGTTTGATCCTCAACATTGCAAAATTAATTAATTAATTAAAAGATAGTGAGCCAGTAAATTTGGGGCTGTTCATAAGCTTACTTTACATATCTATAAATAAGATGTTAGTGTGCACAAGAAGTAACAAGAAGATCCTAGGCATTGTACCTGAAATTCTAAGGGCACATGTTAAAGCCAGTACATTAAGTTCAGACCCATATATCTAAACTAAACTATATGATAATTGAAGTTACAAGCAAGCTGGTCAAGTTTATTACTTCCATTTCATGATGGAACATGTTATGTAGTCTAACTCAGCATCAATCCCATGGAGAGGAGCAGCTTAAAGCATGGAATAAAGACAGAGTTTTCTAACACAGATCTTGAACTGTCATTAGCAAATGACTAGGTATGAATTAGTAGGGTTGATGAACAATATCCTACACCTTTCAATTATATATGTAGGGTGTGTATCCAAGATATATAAAACTAAATATTCATTCTTCAAACTGAAAGAGATCCATTTCAAACCTGCATATTATAGATGAGAAAACTAAAGCTAAAATAGGTCTCAAATGATTTTTTTCCATTTTTAAATGGTTCAGTAACTCATTTCAGATCAGAGTCTACCTGCCTATCCCACATATTATTGTTGCTTTTTCCCACCACTACCATAGGGATTCTCACCAATAATGGTACGAATGCAGTTCTCTTTCTTGGCAATGTTCCGGAGCTGGCCTATAAGCGATGCCTTGCTTTCATTGCTCAGAGCAGTGAGACCCATGTCCTTGAGGCCTTGATAGATTTCCTGAGACACTTGTTCACTCACATTCAACATAGCCTCTTCAGGCCTAGATAGTAAAGGATGGAAAACATAGGAAGTCCCATAGCAAAGCTAGGCCCACTAAACCACTCAAGGGAGAATTCTAGCCAACCCCCCACCAATAATAGCACAAGCCAGTGGGCATACAAAAATACTTTCATTGTTATCTTCAAGGTACCAAATAGTTCATACATAGAGTGCCACATGCCAGCTTCAAAGGAAATAAGATTAACTGGGCAAGGGTTTTGTTCCACTCAGTATTCCTTAGTCCTTGTAAACTTCTTTAAGTATTGTTTTAACATGTTCTTGGATATTTTTCATAGATCTTTTTCCTACTTTGCCAATTAAATTATAAATATATTAAGAAGCTTGAACTTCTATTTTATTTCTGTATTATATCCCTATATGCAGTGAATGATGAATCAATATTACTGACCAAACTTCTTGGTGAGCATACCACAAATCCACTGTCACCCAACCAAGAATAGAATGACTCGTTTTATGAAACTTAGTAAATATTTGCAGCAAACTAGCCTCCACACTTTTTCCTTTGGAAAAAGTTGTATTTTTCTCTACCCCAAGCCTCAATACAACCTATCAAAAATACCAAAAATCTTTAGAACTGGTTTCCAAAGGCTTTTGTATGGGTCTTAATGAAGAATAAGAGTATTATATTACCTATGTCCCAAATACAACATTATTTTCCACTCTAAGAAAAATCTATAAAACATACTTGGAGTTAAATTCCTCTGTCAGGGTCTTGGTGATGCATCTCAGTTTATCGACAAATTTAGGTGAGCTGAATAAAACACTACCAGAGAAACTTCTAGCCACTAGCAGAACTGAGGCCAGGATAGTTAAGTGGTTCAACTTGGACTTCAACTTCTGAAGCCGAATTCTGTCCATCAAAAGAGTCTGATTAGGCAGGGAAGAACAAGCAGTCAGGAAAAGAGGGTTCTAATGGAAGCACTGAATACAAAGCAATACAAGGCAATGCCCCAACACACATTCCTACCTCAGGAAATTCTTCATTTGTATGATCCCAGAGAAGGACATTCAGGTAGGCTTGGTAGAGCACCATTGTGAGACTAGGAGGCTCTGAATTGTTAGCTTCCTGATCTGAAGATGGATATGCTATGCTGGAGGAGGAGCTGGGAGAGTCAGAACTCGGAAATGATGTAGTGAGATCTATGACTGCTTTGTTTAGCCATTTTGTGGTGCAATCAAGAAAATCTATGACAAAAAATGTAACATGTATCTTCAAACTTCAAAGCTTGAAGACTAAGACTTTGAGATACATTCTTAGTGAATAAATGATTTTTCAGGTCAAGTTTTAGCGAAATGCTTCCTTCCTTACTTTTTTTTGTTGTTTGTTTTTTGTTTTTTTAGCAGTATTGGAGTTTGAACTCAGGGCCTCACACTGGCTAGACAGATGCTTTAACACTTGAGCCACTCTGCCAGACCTTTTTCGGTGTTGGGTATTTTCAAGATAGGGTCTCGTGAACTATTTGCCTGGGCTGGCTTCAAACCACGATTCTCCTGAGTAACTAGGATTATAGGTGTGGACCACCAGTGCCTGGCTTCTCTGTACTCCTGACCAAGGAAGAAATTTTCTATTCAAAAAATTAAAAACCACTATGAAAAAGCAGATCCAAGGTCATATTTTCCCTTTTAATGCTCTTAAATTTTAAACATACTTGGCTGCTTGTCAAGGAGTTCCTGGAATTTAGCTCGTTCATACTGGACAGAATTTTCCTGCAGGTAGGGTTGAAGGTTCTTGATAGTATAGTTCACCATGTCCATTTTCATCAGGCCCAGAACATGGAAGATGCTCCTGTTTTAGAAATAAACAGAGTATTTACACTATGAAAGGAAATTTAGTTGAACTCAAGGAAGGAATCAAAATCACAGTATTTTAGAGTTAGTCCTACTTCAATTTACAATTTGGAATGTTTGAATGTGTCCCCCTAAAGAATGTGCTGAAAACTTAATCTTCAATGCAGCAGTGTTTGGAGGTGGGCTTAAAGGGAAGTGTTTAGGTCATGAAGGATTCACCCTCATGAGTGAATGAATGGGCCTGAAGCTATGAATTAAATCTGTTGTTCTATTTTGCCATATCATGCTTTCCATCATGTTATAATGTGGTAAGAATGCCCTTACCAAATGCAGTCACTATGTATTAGATGTGCCAGCCTCCAGAACTATAAGAAATAAGTCCATATTTTATAAATTACCTAGTCTTGTGTCTTCTGTTACAGTAAAACAAAACAGACTAAGTCAGAAAACTGGTACTGAGGATGAGGGATGTTGCTATAACAAATACCTGAAAATGTGAGAGCAGCTTTGGAACTAAATAATGGGCAAAGGCTAGAAGAGTTTTGAGGAGTAAGCTAGACAAAGCCTGTACTGTATTACCATGAATGTACCATTAAGAATGATTCAGGTGAAGGCTCAGAAGAAAATAGTTGTAATAAAAGTTTGATCTTCTTAGACAGTACTTAAGTGATTGTAATCAGAATGGTGGTAGAAATGTGTACGGCAAAGTCTGATCCCATGAAATCTCAGATAGAAATGAGGAATATCTTATTGGAAACTGGAGTAGAGGTCATCCTGTCAAAGAACTTGGATGAACTGTGTCCATGACCAAGGGCTTTATGGAAGGCAGGCTTTTAAAGTAATGAACAGAAGAAATTTCTAAGCAAAATAATGACAGAGTTGTGTTGTTACTTTTAACCATATATAGTAAGACATGAAAGGAGAGGAATGATTTACAGATGGAATTTATAAAGAAAAGGGAAGCAGAGCAGAAAAATTTTTTAAATTTTAGTGTGGCCATGTAAATACTAAAAATGCCTCTTTGGGAGAGCAAAATAAAGGTGTAGCCAAGAGACCCTTTTCTAAAGAGATTAGTATAGATAGAAGGTAGTCAAGTGTAATTAAGACAATGAGAAAATGACTCCAAGTGAATTTTAGAGATCTTCAGGGCAAGCCAGAACACCGAGTGCAAGGTTTACAGAGACATGCCCACAGGGCCATAACATTTGCTGCTCAGGGCTATTCTGGGTAACTGGTCCCTGAATTTCAGCATAGTACCCCTCAGCCACCATAGCTGTGGCTAGAATAGGCCCAGGTGTGACTCAGGCCCCCAGTCCAGGGAACACAACTGGTAAGCCTTGTCAGTATTCACATGTTGCTGATTCTGAAAGCACACGGAATGTATGGGCTATGAGGTCATAGTGGCCTCAGCCTAGATTTCAAAAGATGTATCTGACATCCTGTGGGTCCAGGCAGAAACCTGCCACAGAGGTGGCATTAAGAGGGTAGAAACTTAATCCAACTATGGTGTTTACAGGTGAGACTTTTAAAAGATGATTAGGATTATATAAAATCATCAGAGTGGAGATACCATGATTGAATATTAGTGCTTTTATAAGAAAGAAAAAGAGACTAGGACACCTACATGTACTCTGTCTTTCACCACATGGTGCCCTGCACCACCTTGAGACTTTGGCAGCAAGAAGGCCATCATTATATGCAGCCTCTCATACTTGAACCTTGAACCTTGAACAGGAATCAAAATAAACTTTTTAACTTACCCAGGCTCTGGGGTTGTATTATTAGCAACAGAAAGTAGAGAAAAACAGCATGTCTAAATTCTTACCTCAGTAACTGCACTGGATCTTTAATGTTCTCTAGTTTATGCACTGCTTCATCTCGAACTGGTGCACACAGCAGGGCCATCAAATTGACAATGTAGTTAGAAAGATGAGAAACATTCAGAGCTCCATGCTCTGTTTCCTGCCTGAGGAGATCCATGTCCAGAGTTTCTTCAATCTCATTTTTTAGACGGTTCTGGCGTGGTAATAGCAGCGATAGCAAGATCTGCCCAGAAAAGGAAATGAAAGGAGTTAAATTCTCTTTAGGATACTGAACTTTCTCCAGTGAACAATGCTCTTAAACTAAAGGCATCCCAGGCTAAGTCTTCTAGAGGTCAGGAAAACAGATCTCTAAATTTCTCATAGTATTATTTCTTTCTGTTTAGAGGACAACTACAATTCAAGGTTTCTTTGGGAAACTTTATAACAATAGTTATTATTTTCAAAGTAATGAGATAAACATGAATTAAAACAAGAATGTGATAAAAGGAGTTTATGATATAATAAATATAAAAATACATACCACAAAAGGTGATGAGGCATTCTTAGTAAGTGATAAGGGCATTTTTTATTGTTTTACTCCAAAGGGCAAGGATGAAGTAAGCAAAGGATCATTAAAGGGTCACTTAAAATAGCCTTTTAACTCAAAAGTGTAAATTCTGTGTGAGCAAAGCTCTTTTTCACCTCTGTGCTTCTGGAACACATAAATTCAGCGGAAATTTGTTTGATTGAATGAAATATTGTATTCATCATAGTAATATCCTAACTCTTAGGCTTCATGTTATACAAATAAAATGGAAGCCACTTTATATTACCTATTTTCAGAAAGTATGCTTCTTAGGATATTAGTAGCCATCAAAAATCCAAGGGTCTAGAATGCCCAGGAACTTCCTATCGAGAAATAAAAGGTTGATTACTCACCTCCTTAACATTTTTTATTAGTTCAAGAATACAAGTGAAGTCGGGAGGAGTACTTGATAGCTGCTCTTTCAGATGATCCCAGAAAGCATTGTACATTTTCTCCACAAGCCTGCTATCCTGACTATTAAGAAAGTAAAATGAGAAAATTGCTCTCAAACAGCATTAAAATCATGAAAATCCATTAAATTGACAGACCAGAAGAAACTATGTTTAGACTTAAGAAAGGTTAAATAAATGGAAGTTAGTCTCAGGTGCAAAAGCATTGGTCAAATCCTCTCAGAAGGGCACTTCATGGTTCCAGAGCTTTTCCCACGCAATAGGAGAACCATAAACTAGGGATTGACACCCTGAGTTCTGACCCTGGACCTGCAGGTTGCTTAGATGTGTGACTTAGTTTCCATTTCCATATGCTTAAACCTTTGAACTAGGCAATCTTTTTTTCCTTCAGGCCTTCCCTTTCTGGGGAAGGACTTTGCATGTTGATAACATTGAAAGTCTTCCAGACACTTTAGACTTAGCAAGCCCCAAATGGAACTTATTATTTTCCCCCTCAAGCCTGTTCTTCATTTATACTAGGTCTTGCAAACAGAAGGCTCAGCTTTTATCTCTAAAAATATATTTTTTAAAAACAAAAGTACAAGTTTCCTTTAAAAATGTAATCAATACAAAAATAAATGAAGCAAAAAGTCAAAGTTCCTGCCCATACACATCAATCTACCTTATAAGAGGTCACCAAGTATTATCTATCTGTTATGCACTAGAGGCTTTCTTAATTACTTTCCCCTCATGCCTTCTATATACTTGGTCACCAAATTCCACAGACTCTGTTTCCTAAGTATCTCTAGAACCTATCACACCTACCATCATCTCCTACTTGAACTATTGCAATAGTCTTATCCACAAAGTCTTACCCCTACAATGCCATATATCCTTGCTAAAACAGATGATTTTCCTAAGATATGAATTTGATCATGATAGCATGCTCATTGAAAGTCCTTCAGGAGCTCCCTAACACCAACAAGATACATGGTCTCTGTTGCTAGAACAATAATGTCACAATTTATAAATCGGTGGCCATTTTATCCTCAGACCTCACTTGAGAAACTTCCAAGGACAGCCCTGCTCTTAACAGAAATTCCCATGTTCTAAGACAGCCTCACCCCTACCAGAGACTCCCATGCATGTGTTAACTTCTTTAACCTCCCCCTTCTATAAAGGCCACGCCTGGCCCAGAATTGCTGCTGCGCCATCTTTTCCCCGGCCAGGCTGGCAGTTTGGGCCTGCCATTAAACTTTGCTCTATGGATGTGAGACTTTTCTCGTGAGTGACGTTTTTCCTAATATTTGGTGCCGTGACTCAGATCAGGGTGCACTCTTGGCACTGACCTTGCTTTCCCGGCCCCCCAACCCCATCCCGCTCTCTCTCTCTCAACTCCCATTCCCTTCCTCCAGGATTTGAGCGGCTTTGCCAGAACCCCCTATCCTAGAAAATGCCACTCCCTTACAGCTCACAGGGAAATTCCTCTGCCCCAGCGCTCCTCCAGTTGCCATCCACCACCAGTCAATCTTCCCTCAAGGTCCTCTCTCTCGGTGAGTCCTTATTGCACACAGAGCAGCGATCTCTCTCTCATTTCCTTGAAATCCTAGTGCTAGGTCTCGGCTCACTCCCATCCCTGGGAACCGGGTTCCCCACTAGGGACTGTGGACCTCCCTGGTGAAGACTTTCCCTCTGGGTACTCCACATCTCTCTCTCTCTCTCCTGAGGACCTGGTATTTCAGGGACGCCTACCATATCTCTCCTCAGGTCAGGTCTCACCATGGGAGTTGGACCATCCCAAATTCCTTCAGATTCTCCTGGCCAACCTTGGGCCCCTCCACCTAAGGCCTGATCTTAAGCCATGAGAGCTCATTTTTCTCTGTAATCAGGCATGGCCCCAATACCCATTAGACAATGCCTCCAAATGGCCACTTAATGGCACTTTTGATCCCAATATTTTAAGGGATTTATACAGTTTCTCTGAGTGCACTGGTAAATGGAAGGAACTTCCCTATGCCCAATCCTTTTCCTATCTCCGCACCAAACCCTCCCTCTGTACTTCCTATTCCCCTGTGCAGGTTCTATTAGCCTCTAAACCAGCTTCTAAATGAACCAAATCCTCTCCCGAACCTCCTCCTTCCCCATGTAAGCAGACTTCTTGCGCTACTCAAGCTGCTTGTCTCTTCCTATCTTCCTGAGGGACTTTCCCATCATGGTGTTAAACCAGCCACTCCTTGACAACTCTGGCCACAAGGCAATTCCAGCTCTGGGAGAGCTCATGCTCCCTCCCTGTGGGCTAAGACCAACCCCGGGGTTTATTTGGGTACACCTCATGCTATGTTGGGGGAGTCCTGTTTAATTATGGCATCTGACAACTGCTTCTCTTTCCCCCAACCCTGTCTAATGCCCCTTTTTTCCTGAGACAGCGACAAGAGAGTGGAGGTTTCATGTTGCTGAAAGTGTTCCAGTACCAGTCAATGGTAGTGACCTAAAGGCACAGGTGATGGCTAATCCCTCAGGCGTGTGTCATGCCTCCAGGCTCTGCCATCCCTTCCCTTACCTAAGATGTCAGGACACCTTTTCCACTTCCTCCATGGTCTCACCACATATCCTTTGTCTCTGTCTGCCTTCCCCTCCCTGGGCTTACTGGGACCCTGCCTCCCATGAAAAACTTGTAGTATGGTACTTTATGACTTAAGTTATTCCAACTAGTTTGCCAGGCCCCTCAGTCTAAAGTAACTTTAAATCAGCTGCTAGGCAAATGCGCTTACAAAAAAACTGCAGCTGCCATGCTAATGCCCTAACTCTGCCCCCACAAGGGGAGGAGGGAAAGCAAATAGGCATGCTCATTCACAGCAGGAATGCCTGCCAAAGCTAAGAGAATCCATAGGCCAACCCAACACACATCCTAGGCCAGCAGCCACACATGGCTGTAAGCCAATTGCTAGCTCAAGGTTATAGTCCCAAAAATAACAAAATGGACATTAGTGTAATAAACTTCTCATTTAAAATTTTCTGTACTTTCAGCCTCACTATAAATTTTTCCCTCCAAATATTAACACTAGCTGTCCCATATGGTACTGTTATTGGCCCAGGATGCCCTCTAAATGCCTCTCTCTAACTTTACGGGTGACTTATTCCTTTGTTTAAAAAGTAGCCTTTACTAAAGAGGCTGCCTGCTGTTAGCTAAAAGACAGGATCCTAACGTTTTGTTCTTTCTAGATGGGATCTGCACCTTTCAGTCTTCTGGCTTGTAGATGTTGAAAGTTTTGTACTGAGGCCTGGCCTCTGTATACCAAGAGAAGTGGCCTTCACAGGGTTCTTTAAATTACAATACCATACTCTAATTAGACCTTTTCTATAAAAGGGAAAAAAATGAACTAAGGTCCCCTATACAAATTTCTATCTTCTAAGCCACCCTAATATTCAGAACCTCCTAATGGGTGCTTCCCCCTTCAACAGGTAATGGTAGGAAGAGGGCAAGTCTTATGTCCTCTTCCATTATCAGATCTAAAGGAAATTTAAAAACATCTGGACAGCTATACTGATGCCCATAAAAATACATTCAAGCCTTTATCTTTGTAATCCAAACCTTTCAACTGACATGAAAGGATATTATGCTTCTACTAGACCAGACTCTTTTCTCATTAGAAAAACAATGGGTTCTGGTCCAGGCCACTCAGGCTGGAAATGATTACCATTTACAATGAGCCCCAATACTAGTGGCACCTGGAAATAAGGGAATAAATGTGCCTACCTACAGGAGCACAGGCAGTCCCCTTGAAAGATCCACACTAAAAGGGGCTGGTGATATGGCTCAAGCAGTAGAGTGCCATTTTGCAGGCATAAAGCCCTGTGTTCAAATCCAGTACAGCCAAAGAAAAAAAAAAGATATTTGGGGCTGAGGAAGTAGCTCAGTGGGAGAATGTCTGTCCAGCATATGCAAAGCCCTGGGTTCAATTCCTCAACATTACTAAATAAAAAAAAAATGTTAGGAAAGATAAGTGGTGTTAATGTCACTTCAGCCATCTCATTGTGGAAGAAAGTAGTTTAACCTAGACCAGATCCCTCATTCTTCAAGTGAGGAAACTGAGGCCCAGAACAGTTCAGAGACCTGCTCTTCAGAGTATCAGGTGTCAATGTAAAATAACAACTTTGCTTTACAGCAACGCTCTGAAGAAAATCCCCTTACCTTTCTGCAGCATCATAAGGATGCTATCAAAAAGCATACCACAGTGGACCCAGAGTCACAGGTGAGAGAGGTTCTCCTCAAAGATAAATTTCTAACACAGTCAGCCCCAGATATTCATAAAAAACTCAAAGTCTGTGGCTGAAGGAGAAAAGTCATTGAACCAAATAATACAGCTAGCAATGTCTATATTTATAGCTATGTCTGTATGTCCAGGACCTTACTAAAAGGAGAGAAAAAGATAAGAGACACCATGGCCTCATTGCTGCTCTCAGAGAGGGCCCCACCTGACTGGGGCCTGCATCCTGAACTTGCTACCATGGTGGACAGGAGGGGCACTTCTGCAGAGGATGCTCAAAAAGGGGGACAGCATGGGAGACAGCCCCACACCCAACTGGGATCCTGCCCTATCTGCAAAGGTAACCACTGGAGGTCTAAGTGCCCCTGCCTCCAGATGGAAGGCAAGGTGCCAACTCCTATGGATTGATGGTCCTGGTCCCCTGTCCACACTCCAGTTCTTGGCATCAATGTGGAAGAGCCTCAGGGTAGCCATGATGGCAGAAAAACAAAAGATCGTTTTCCTGCTAGACAGTGGAGCTCATTTCTCTGTTTTACCTTTCTCTCCTGGCCCCAAGTCTAATGACAAAAGTTATCATTTGGGGTAAATCTGGCCAGCCCCTAGAGCACTACTTTACTTGGCCTCTGGCCTGCTCTTGGGGGGACCTCCTCTTCTGTCACTCTTTCCTCATAGAACCAAAACTCCAGTGTCCCTGCTGGCACGGGATTTACTATCTCAATTAAAAGCTCAAATTCTCCTCCCCTAGGCAGCTATCTCTGCTGCCCCCTCCTTCAGGAACAAATAGATTCCACAATGTGGACTGATGGGGTAAATGTAGGGCAAGCCTGGATGGCCCTCTCTATTCAAATAAAACTCAAAAATCCCTCACAGTTTCCACACCCAAAACAATATCCCCTCAAGCCTGAGGAACAATGAGGCCTTATGCCTATCATAAATTCCTTAAAAAAAAAAAAGAAAAACAAGGGCTACTAATTAGTTGCTCCAGCCCATATAATAAATTTAAAATTCTTATAAAAGTTAATTTTAAAATACAAGTTACAAAGTAAACAGCTAGAAAGGATATACATAGGTAGTGAATGTATTTTTTGAGAAGTTAAAGGAAAAAGGAATGCTTTTAGATGAGAAAGGATTTTGTAAAGAAGGGTTTGTCCTAAAGATTGTTTCAAATAGGAGGGATAAAGACAAGCCATCAAAGGGTTTAGTGTGTTATATAAAGGTCTGGGTAAGTATTAAAAGTGTATAATAAAAAGCTTCGGTGTGTAATAAAGTTAAAGTTGAGCATAATCTAAGAGTTGCCTAAAAGATTTTTAGGGTCATGTCAAACTAAAATCAAATTCTCTATGTCTATAAAATAACAAGGTTATCTTAATATTGTTCTGCTCTGAGTAACATCTACAAAAAACCGTTACAGATAAAGATTTTATCAAAGAAATTATTTGTGTTTTCTGCTGATCTTGTCAAGCTTTAAGTACTATTACATCAGAGTTCATTTACATATTTGCTTATGTGTCTTAAATGGCCACCTTGTAACAGTGTTGTGTCTATACTTTATCTAAATATGGTACAAATATTTACAAAATTATATACAAAATGAACTAGAGCTCTCTTTTATCCAACAGTGTTACATTTAACCTAAATCCTGACAGCCCCTGCCTCCCACAGGTCACCTACCTAGGTGTGGTCTTAAAGGGACAGACTCACTCCCTGAGTCATGAGTGCATCAACCCAATCTTCCGTTTCCCTCTCCCCCATACCATAAGGCAGCTTACAGCTTTCTTGGGAGTTAAAGGATTTTGCAGAATCTGTATTCCTAGGTGTGCAGTCCCTTAGCAGACACCTTTTTATGTTTCTCCTAATTTCCTATTTGGGTCTTAAATAATGTATGGCCACCCATTTCTCTTAGAAAACTTGCCTCCAACAGACTCTGCTCCTCTGGCTGACTACCTGCTTTATCTTAACCTTCTCAGGGAACTTCTCAGAGAGCATATACATATGAGCAGACCAGATCCTGCCCCATCCTATAACAATTTCTGTTAAACCAGGGGATCTTGTTCTCGTAAAGGATCTTCTACCCTCTCCATTGGGACTTCGGTGGACCAGCCCTCATCTGGTCATTCTCACAACACCCACTGTTGTCAAACACAATGGGATCCCCCAGTGGTGGCACCTCTCAAGGAACAGTTAAAAAAAAACAGAGGAGGGAATTGGAGGACCCTTGAAATTGTTTAGGGAACATTTCACAGTGGTTCTCCTGGCTAAATGCCCATCCTAATACTTATGTTTCTTGCTCTCCTATTCTTTTTTTTTTCATTTTTCTTTTATTATTCATATGTGCATACAAGGCTTGGTTCATTTCTCCCCCCTGCCCCCACCCCCTCCCTTACCACCCACTCCGCCCCCTCCCTCTCCCCCCCCAATACCCAGCAGAAACTATTTTGCCCTTATTTCTAATTTTGTTGTAGAGAGAGTATAAGCAATAATAGGAAGGAACAAGGGTTTTTGCTGGTTGAGATAAGGATAGCTATACAGGGCATTGACTCACATTGATTTCCTGTGCATGGGTGTTACCTTCTAGGTTAATTCTTTTTGATCTAACCTTTTCTCTAGTACCTGTTCCCCTTTTCCTATTGGCCTCAGTTGCTTTAAGGTATCTGCTTTAGTTTCTCTGCATTAAGGGCAACAAATGCTAGCTAGTTTTTTAGGTGTCTTACCTATCCTCACCCCTCCCTTGTGTGCTCTCACTTTTATCATGTGCTCATAGTCCAATCCCCTTGTTGTGTTTGCCCTTGATCTAATGTCCACATATGAGGGAGAACATACGATTTTTGGTTTTTTGAGCCAGGCTAACCTCACTCCTATTCTTAAGCTTCATCCCTTGTATCATACTACATGTCTGCTATTGCTAATCAAAAATTTAACCAGTTGTACCTCCAGGGATATCAACCTACCCAGACACCACAGGAGTCTGAGGATCTTGCCCCATACAGCACCCCCTGCCAGCAGGAAGCAGCTAAAGAGACCGATGCTTCACCCTAATTCCTGATCCTCAGCCCCTACCCTCATCATTATTAAAGAAAAAATGGGGAAATGATAGAACAATAATATCGCCATTTATAAATTGGTGGCCATTTTATCCTCAGACCTCACTTGAGAAACTTCCAAGGACAGCCCTGCCCTTAACAAAAATTCCTGCACTCTAAGACAGCTCCACCAATACCAGAGACTACCACACATGCACTAACTTCCTTAACTTCCTCCTTCTATAAAAGCCACGCCTGGCCCAGAATCACTGCTGTGCCATCTTTTCCCTGGCCAGCCTGGCAGTTTAGGCCTGCCATTAAACTTTGCTCTATGGACATGAGACTTTTCTCATGAGCTTTCTTTGTGAGTGGCATTTTTCCTAACATCTGTGACCCTTCATGATCCTATTCTGCCACCTGCCCTACTTTACCTCCTCCATCCTCCTAACACCTTATACTCCAAAAATAACAATCTACTTATAGTGACTATGTAATTGCTTTCCACCTTTCTATGCCTCTGAAGAAACTTTCACTCTTCTCTCTAGACCACCTGAAAAGTATCTACTCATACCCAAAGGCTCAAATTGACTATATATAACAGAACGATTATCCCTCTTCACAGTAGCTATTTGACTGTCTCCTCTACAGAAGCTTCTTGATGGCAAAGATATTACTTACTTACATCATACTCAGTATTCAACATTCTACCCTTCACCTACTAAGTACTCAAGAAAAAGTTTGTTAAATGAATGTATGACAATGGGATTTCTGGTTCTATGGGTATAATTAATATCAGTTTACAATCCCAAGTGTATAAAACCAGTTGTCAATTATTAATGAAGGATAACTCCAAACTCTATTTCAGCCTTTTTCCAGTATACATTTTATATTCGTAATTGATGAAGGCTGCTAATAACAAATTTGAAATTCAAGCTTCAACTTCATTTACTCACCTCTCACTATCACCATGACTTCTAGCTACTTTAATATACCTTCACTGTCTAAGTTTGACTTTTCTCAGCACCACTGCTAGCAGAAAAATAAATCTAACTTGGACTTAAGGAACTATGACTACAATGAAGATGATGCTAGGAGACCTATGTTTTGGTGAAGATGTCCTTGAAGTTGTGCTTAGCATGGGTCACTTTTGGCACTAGCTAGCACAAATCTAATGTGTGTAAAGATCAAGAGAGCTACTGACAGAGCAAGGTGTTTTAGTAACAGAATCCCCAAAGTGGCAAAATAACAAGCACTCAAGGTGGAAAATATAAATGATATAAAATACATTCTGGCAGAAAAAGTTACCTATGTAACTATTACTAATCCAATAGAGGCAATAAATTCATACTTACTGAATCACTCTTATTTATGTATTACAATATCAATATAATTAAGATGAACCAAAATTAAGCTTATTTTTCTCTATTAAGCTAATCATGATACAGAAATGTTCCCGGAAATCTTTTATCCCATGAAGAATAGGCAATACCACTATTAGAAAAAGTAATCTACTACTAATAGATTAAACAGATTCACATGAATACATCTATAGAAAATTAGAAGAGAAGATGCTAGGAGCTATATTTTCCAAGTCTGTCTGAAAAGATCTGAAATACACTCTGTATTTCATTAACTGAGAGCCTGAAATGAACACTTTGACAATAATTGCATTGGCTTATTCCTTACTTAAATATAATTTGAGACTTTAAATTAATAATTATACTGATTACAGTGTTTTATTTATTGAGACTATTTAAAAATAGTCAAAAATTAAATTTGCTAATAAAATTCTTCAAACATGATCAAAAGCTGCTTGTGCCAGGAAAAGTAAAACAGAAAAAATAGAAGAGTTTGTACCTGTCTTGAGGTAAAGTGTTCTCTTCAATGTGGAGATCTTTTTCTGTGATTTCATGAAAAATGCTCAGTTTGGAAACTTCATCAACTGTCTCTGTCAGCTCTGTAGCAGAAAATACTTCAGGTTGTTTTTCTAGAAGAAGTGCATAACAGCCATCAAAAGGGAATCCACACAAATAAAATTTCTGTTGTATTCAGAGATTCATTCAGATAAGTAAGTCCTACAAATTTAGATCCATGAAACAAATCTTACAGAGATTGACTCAATATTTTCATATTTGAGGTTTTCTGAACTCTTTGCCCATCAACAGCATTAGAAACTCAGAGAAGTCAGGCATGTGCAGAAGTCATCTTATGAAAAACACAAGATGAAACTGATATCAAAACCTTCCATTTGAAATGTCAAAACAGTAAGATGGTTTGAAAGAGGGAGCTATCACTCATTTGTTCCTTCACAAAGAAAAAACAAAGCAATGGGTGTGTATCAGCTGCATAGTGAGGTGACTATGGAAAAACATTGAAAATAAACAAGAGAAAAATAGAAACCTTGTAAAATCCAGAGACCTGGTATACAGTATAGCAAGAGAAACAAAATACTCTATTACCTGCACCTGGCTCACAGCCAGGGGTGAGAGAGTCTTCTCTCTGTATGGGGTAAAGATGAAAGGGAGTCCCAGAAAACACTGTCAGTTCAGATACTGGCACTCCTAGCTACTGAAAAGTTTTTCAGCCTGCAGGCTTATAGCCTAAATAGATAAGAAGCCTGAAATCTACATAGTAATCTGACTCATCAAAAAAGAATTCATTTCATCACCTGTGAAGCACCAGGGTGCTATAGCTAAGAGAAATCTTGAGACTGTTGTCTGAATTTTCACTGCTTTAAGGGTCAGGACCCTTAAATATCACCAGCTATGGGATCCCACAGACATTCGCCTGTACTGACTCAGAGGGTGACTGCCTCATGAACTAGACATGGCTTAATGGGGCAATGATGATACAAACCCACTGACAGTGATATATAGTAGGGAATGGGTGCTTAAATGTAGAAGGATGTCAGGGAATCATCCACAAGAACCAGAAGTTTAAGGAACCTGCCTTCTGAGACTGGATACATGGCCAATTATGTGTGTTTTGTGCCAATTCCAGGACTGATGGCAGTTGTTCAAGATGTTCCTATCACATCTCCTCAGCACCATACAGATGCCTGTAACTGAAGGTGGAGAAAAAACCTCTCAGTTTCCACTGCTTCCCCACCCACAGTGATGCATTGTGGAAGAAAAAACCTCTCAGTTTCCACTGCTTCCCCACCCACAGTGATGCATTGTGGAAGCTGCTAGCAATGATGCCAGTCTGGCTGTAGCCCTGACTTAAGCACCCAGCCTAAGAAGATACAGAGAGAAACTTTCCCCCTTCTCAGACTCATTTTTCTCACCCTCACTCCTGTAAGCACCACTCTCAGGGTACACACCCTAAGAAGCTCCAAAAAGAAATGTAGCCCAGTATGGGCTGCATTCTACTCTACTCTTTCCTGTGGGCAACTTATCTGAGAGGAATTTTGCCTGCCTCCAGTCATGACCACTACTGCTTGATCTGATCTCTAGTGGTTACTACAACTGCAAAAATAAGAGGGAAACCCTGCCCAAGGTATCATCTACCAGCACACATACTTTGAAGGTATCTGAGTTCCTGCTCTTGGGTGAGCATGCCCACAGTAGCAGCTGAGAAGAATAACACAACTTTTCTGGCATCCATACCTCCATGGGTCCCCTGCATAGATTACTTCCACACCTTGTTTAATCACCAACTGCTGACAACATTGGGTATGAGTGCCACAGAGGAGGTGATGACAGTCTTGCTCCCACCTCTCCTCATGAAGCACCTGACCCTGTACCACTGACTCATCAGAGGACAATTGCTTCAGACATCTCACCACTACTGAAGCAGCCAGTGTCATAGGGTATTTCAAGTAACAGGTCCAATCCATCAGTGCTTGAGGAAATCCACATCAAATCATAGGCACCCCTTTTCCCATTGTAGGATGCATTTCCATTACAGGGTGCATCCCACATACCCTGTGATCTACACCACACCTGCCTAAACTGCTAGAGTTTCCTCACTCTTGTGAAACCAAGAAAGAGTGAGTCTTTCTGATACCAATGCAGTACATACTATGCCCAAACTCACTAATCTCAGATAAAGAAGCTGTAACATTATACCCAGTTGGAAACTCACTCAATACTACATCACTAACGGATATCCTAAAATGCATCTTCAGGAGAAAACCACTTACTATGAAGGTCATCCCCTAGGCAAGGTATGGTGTTTCATTCCTATAATCCCAGCTACTTGTGAGGCAGAGATAGGATTGTGGTTTGAGGACAGCCCAGGCAAAATGCTAGTGAGATTCTTTCTCAAAAGCAAGTCAGGTATGGTGGTGCATGCATATAATCTTAATTACTTGGGAGGTGAAGGTAAAAGGATTTGTTTGAGGCCATCCTAGGAAAAAAGCATGAGACCCTAGTTGAAAAAGACTAGAGGCATAGATCAAATGGTTGAATTCTGCACAAAGATCCTGAGTTCAAACCACTGTACTGACAAAAAAAAAGGCCATCCCTCAAAAGTGTAAGAGTTATCTGTCCCACCAGATGTACAAATCTCAACATAGGAACACAAGAAATATGAAAAAGAAGGTAATATGACAATTCTGATGGATAATGCACACATCTGTAAGCCCAGCACTTGGGAGACTGAAGCACTTGCAAGACTGAGGCAGGGGGATCACAAGTTCAAGGCTATCCTGAGCTACGTAGTGAATTTGAGACTATACTAGAGTACATTGAGACAAGAAAACCTGTCTCAAAAAAACAACAACAAAAGAATTCAAAAGAATGATTATTTAAAAGCTCAATGAGATCCAAGTAAATACATAAAAATAGTTAAATGAAATTAGGGAGACAATGCAGGATATGAATGAAAATTTGGCAAAAAGAGATTTGAGGAAAGAACCAATTCAGAAATCTTGATAAAGAGGAGCTCTAAAATTCAGTTGATGATATATTTTGAAAACTTTTGTAAATGTCACAATGTACCCCCACAACAATAATAAATAAAAATAAACATAATAATTTTTTCTAAAATATTCAGTTGATAGCCTCAACAGCAGAGTAGATCAAGTAGAAGAAAGATATTGGATCATGAAGAAAGGTCTTATAAAATATAACATTTAGACACAAATAACAAAAAGAAAGAATGAAAAGAGCATATGAGGTTTTTGAGATACCATTATAAGGGCAAATGTCTGCCTCATTGTCATATCTGAAGGGAAAGAAATAATGGTTAAGGGCATAGAAAATCTGCTGAATAGACTAATAGCAGAAATCTTCCCTAATCATGGGAAAGACACGGACATCCAGATAAAGGAAGCCTATAAAACTTCAAATAGACATGACCAGAAAAGATCCTCACCACCACATGTTGTAATCAAACTTTCAAAAGTACAGGACGAAGAAAGATTACTTTAAATCTTCAAGACAAAAGCATGAAGTCACATTTAAGGCCAACCCCATTACATAAACAGCAGATTTCTCAGCAGAAATATTATAAGACAAGAGGTCATGGGATAATGTATCTCAAGTCCTTAAAGAAAATAACTGCCAACCAAGAATATTGTACACAGCAAGGCCACTCTTTAGAACCAAAGGAAAATAATGACTTGCCAAAAAAGTAAAAACTAAGGTTATTCATGAGCATCAGATCAACAATACAAAAGATGCTCAAGGGAGTCCTGTACCCAGACATGGAAAAAAAATAACTATCATCATTACAGCATGTGAAAGTATAAATCCCACTAGAAGAGTAGATATACAAATGGGAAATAGAAAAGAATCAAACATTATCAATACAGTAAACTATTAAAACACAAAGATGAATAAGAGAGGAATAGAAAAATATTTGAAACAACTAGAAGATAGACAACAAAATGACATGCACAAGTCCACACCTTTCATTAATAATTCTGAATATAAATGGTCTTAATTCTATTAAAAGACAGACTGGCTAACTGGTTTTAAAAACATGATGCAACAATATCCTGTCTATAAGAAACTCATCTTACCAGTAATGACACAGACTGAAAGTAAAAGGATGGAAATTGATATTCTGAGCAAATGGAATCTGAAAACAAGTAGGATTAGCTATACTTATGTCTGACAATATAGGCTATAAGACAAAAACAGTAAGAAGACTCAAAGGTCAAAATATAATCAAGAGATCAATTAATCAAAAATATTTAATAATTAAAAATCTATATTTACTTAATAAAAAGCATGCAATTTTATAAAACAAGCATTATTAGACATAAAGTGATGGAGAGGCTGCCACACAGTAATAGTTGGGATTTTCAACACCCCAATCTCACCAATGGATAAATCATCCAAACTAAAAAACAAACATCAACAAAGAAACATCAGATTTATATTACACTCTAATTAAATTACTGAACATTTATAAAACATTCCATCTAACACCTGCAGAATACTCATCCTTTTCATTAGCATGGGAATTTTCTCTAGAACAGATCAAACGGGCCACAAAACATGCACTAACAAATACAAAAATGTTGATGTCATATCCTCTACCTTTTCTGACAACGATGGCATGAAACTAGAAATCAACAGCAAGAAAAACTTTAGAAATTATGCAAATAAGTGGAGACTGAACAACATACTTTTTAACAAACAGAGGGTAATTGAGGAAATCAGAAGGAAAACCAAAATTCATTGAAACAAAGGAAAATGGAAACACAACATGCCAAACCTATGGGATACAGCAAAAGCAGTACTAAGTGGGAAGTTTGTAGCAGTTAGTGACTACATCAAACTATAGAAAGAGTTCAAATACACAACCTAATGAAAAGAAAGAACAAGTCATACATAGAATTAGTAAAAGGAAAGAAATAATAAAGATCAGAGCAGGAATAAGTGAAATAGAATCTAAAAGGACAATACAAAGAATCAATGAAACAAAAAGTTGGTACTTTGAAAAGATGAACAAAATTTACAAGCCTTTAGCTAGACTAACCAAAAAAGAGACAAGA